CTACAGGAAACAGTTATAAAATAAGCTTGAAATAGTTTCATAACTATCATAGAAATCTCGCAGAAAAGTGTTATAAAACTGGTACATAACAGTTTACTTTTATAGGAAAATAAGTTTTATAAGTTAGTTGCAGAAACGTTTCTGTGATAATTTCCTCACTATTTTATGATGGTTTTTCAATTTCATTTCATAAATGTTTCTATGACAAACTTATAAAACACTTTTATTGCCTACAACTGTATTGTGTTCACCGATCATCTAATATAATCAATTAGCATTTTGGAAGTAATTATAAAATACTAATAAAACTGTTGCAACACCATGGAATTATAAAATTACTTTGCTGGTTGGGTATGCTATCGCGGACTTTCATTCAGAAATATTTAAGATAAAAAATCTCACGGTACATTATCGTCATGTATATCCAACCTTATAGGCAGCGCACGCCAAGACAGCTCTCAGGCTAGGGCCGCACTGCAGGAAGTTTGGTAGGATGGTGGATGGTAGATAGCATGCCTGGCGAGCATCTTGCTATTTATAAACGTGAGTAACAGAACGACGGTAGCCGCAGTGGCCTCCCACTACCATCTAACCTCCAGAAACCATCCGAAGGTAGGCTTCTATCCAACCTAATCAGCCTTGTTTGATATTCCAGCCGGTGAGCCTAGCTAAGGAGGAAAGCGTAATAAGTTCTGTATACAAAAGAAGGGCAATTTGGGACCCAGCAGACCAATAAGGAAAAACTCAAAAATTTTGACGACACTGTTGATATAGCTTCTCTGAAGTTTTTTGCAATTTGCATTCAGTCAACTTCAAAAATAGATCGAATGCCTCAACTGACATCCTTAAATACAAATAAAATTTGTCAGGATGTTGTAATTTTATTGTAGACTCTCACGAATTCTCCGTCCTGTTGACGCCTCAAATTGTGAGTATGCACCAACGATTTTTTTATAACACTACTAGTACTATGTTGCTGTGTCGCTGCTGTTCCAATGTTTTGACAGGATCAGAATCAACGAACTTAGGCGTGAGCAGCGTTATAGAACAGTGCTTTCATAAAATTGTTCTACAGCGCCATCTAGTGGCGAGTTACAGAAAAATTGATAGCCTACAAACCTTCTCTATGAAAAATTACTCATACATGACAAGTTTCATCACGATCGGTTGAGTGATGTAGAAGTTTATCACTTACCAACCAACCAACCAACCAACCAACCAACAAGCATCCATTTTTATATATTAGATTTGCCACTATAATTTTCGAATATGAACTTGGTACAAATTTTTTCGCAACTTTAGAGAGAGTCATGATTGTTCCTTTTCCGCTGTCAGTTGGATACTGACTCCATTTCACTGCGTCCAAGATGCATTGCCCCTCCACCATCCACCTTTACCATCCACCCTCCAAGCGACCATCTAGCATCCTACAGTGCGGCCCCAAGTTCAGGGAGCAAGAATTTTTCCGACTTACTTATTAATTGTCGTTTTATTATTACCAAAATTATATAAAACCTTTGTGAGTGTAGCCTATACAGAGTGGTCCAACGAAAAGTATGCACCTTGCTTTTCTCCTTTTTTTGTAACTTAACGCAAAAATGCTCGGGTAGGTCAATTTTGCTTTTGAGGGGGACACACTTTAGATGTATTTTTCTACCTGTGCCTTCAACAAGTGACTGAGTGAGTGAGTAAAAACCCTAAAATTTGAAATGGAAAGTGGGGTCGAGTGATACATCATTTGAAAGGGCACAAAATTATCTTTCCACAACTATTATGTTGATAATAAAGTTTAACAATTTCAACTCGTTCAGGAATGGAATAAACGATTTTTACAGTAAAGTTGAAATAATTTCAAAAGCAACCGAAGTGAATCAATGAACGTTTGCCTAAATTATTTTTGTACACTTATCTGCTGTTGTTATTTGAACCAAAATACGCACGAGAGGAATTGAGGAATGTAGTAGTAATACAAATGCCGTTTTTTCCGCATTTTCATTAACACCAAAAATATCGAGTAAATGTTCTTGCTTTTTTTATTCAAGTAAATATAACAAATTAGGTATCATTGAAAAGAGAATTTTGTGCCCTTTCAAATGATATATCACTCGACCCCACTTTCTTTTCAAAATTTTAGGGTTGTTACTCACTCACTCACTCACTTGTTGAAGGCACAGGTAGAAAAATACATCTAAAATGTGTCCCCCTGAAAAGCAAAATTGACCTGTCCGAGCATTTTTGCGTTAAGTTACAAAAAAAGGTTTTAAGCAAGGTGCATACTTTTCGTTGGACCACTCGATATGTTATTCTGATGTATAAGCTGTATCTATTTGAAGTTTCATCTAAATCCGTTCAGTCGTTTAGGCGTGAAAGAGCCACAAACATACATTCATACAAACATCCTCACAAACTTTCACATTTATATTAGTACAGAGTTGCTGGAGTTGACGAAACGGTAATGGTTGTCCTCTGTTCATGAATAATAAAGAGATCGTGAAGATAATTATTGATTGTAACATGTAAATTCGTAGAGAAGTAACAAGTAACCTACCCACTAGCGAGTTAACAAAAAAATCAGATCTTGACAATTCATATTACATTTTGAATCTTATCTATGATCATGAATCTGATTTTAATTTATTTGTTTCAGTTGTTGGTTGTATGTGGGGGTGAGTGTGGGCGTTATGGGGCGGGGGCAGAGCTCGCCCATGGAGCTCGGCTAGAGGCGTGCGCCCCTGTCCGGCTGCCCGGCCCCCCCTCTGCCGCCCTCACCCCGGCCCACACATGGAGCCGGACCACCGGGATCACCGATGCCACAGGCCATGTGCCTTCGACAAAGTAAGTTGCAATTGGAATTTATTGATAGTCTAGTTGATCGAAAGGAAAAGTACAATCATAGTTCGTGATAAATTCTACCCGTCAATAGGCCTTTTCATCACAATTTTTTTTTGAGCGCATGCGTCAGTATCGGCCATCTTCTCATCTCATCTCATCGTACTGTTTTTTGTAAACAACCATGTTAAAGAGCCCGCAGGTCATGTTTTAAAAATTATAATATAAATTGAAGTTTATTAATTGTAAAAAAAGTGAAAAAAAAGTAGTACGTCAAAATAATCAGAAAAAATTATGATTATGTTATCTGTACGAAAAGGAACAACAAAACGGTGTTGTTATGAAGTATGTAAAAGTGATACACGATACAAATCATTCAAAACCGACACATACTATTTTATAAATTTTTCAAAGCCTTGTCTTGAATATCGCAAAAAAATAATCAAATCATCAAGCAAATTAAATATTAAAGTATGTACGAAATGTAAATTATGGGTGAAAAAATGTGGCAGGAGTGAATCTATTGATGATACCAGGGATACTGATATTTGCTCACTACATTTTGTTGGAGAAAGTTGTCCAATTGAGCAAAATCCTAATCCGTGAAGCTATCAGGAATTTCAACATATTGATAAATCAATTAATAAGGTAAGGTACAAAATAAATTGTACAGAAATCTGATTTTCGGAGTTATAACCTCAAACTTGTTTATAGGTTTTCAAAGCAAGAACCAGCTTATCAAAAATATATAGAAGAGTAGATACGGAAAAAGCAAATGGATCTGAATATACAAAAATAGATAATATTTCAACAGATGCGCAGGTACCTACCTACAGTGTGAATAATATTGAATTATAGAAATACCACCAGATTGACATTATAAATAAGAATAAAACTGTAAATACAATTTTTTATATGCTGATACCTAACCTCTCAATCAGCTCACTTTTCCTTTTTGCGGATGCCCATGACATTTTAACCGCCTTTTTAATTGTTCACAATTATGAGCCTCAACTGAATTATAAACAACTGAAGCACCATCAATGGTTTTTTCCAATAATTGCCAGCCATTGTTGATTAAAACAGTACGAATGTTTTGAATTACCGGGGTTTCAATATGACGGCTACGCTTACGCTCCTCTTATGATGAAAAGGCCTATTCAATCACAGTGTTATTTATAATGCCGCGGTCAAGCGAATAACGAGATTTTTTTTCAGGGAGTGGTGGCCTTTCTTCGTGGTGTTATTCTATGCACTTGCTCCAATACCTACACTCGTAGCCAGAAGATACAGTGACCATTCGGGTCAGAGTAACTCATGCTTGGAGGCTGCAATATTCATAACGATGGGAATTCTAGTGAGTTCGTTCGGACTGCCGATTGTTTTAGCTAGGGCTCTCGTCATAGAGTGGGGAGCTTGTTTCCTGACTATAGCTGGTAACGTGGTTGTCTACGCAACACTACTGGGATTCTTCTTGACTTTCGATCAAGACGATTCTGACTATAGCATGTGGTAGTTTGGTGTTGAGCAAATAAAGTTTTCTTGTACTCATTTATATTTTGGTTATCACTTACTTAGTGTATAGTATATCTAAGACTAATGTATTTTGTAAGATATTCAATATTGGAGTATTTCTGGATTCTCGATTATTTTGTACAATAAGAAGCTTAACTACGTAATATGTATGTCCTTGTTTTTTTTATAATTAGTTTAAACAAATATTTTTCATATGTATCTAAGGTTTTAATAGAAACCATGGTGGAGATAAAACAAACCACTTTCGTTAAACAATATAACCAATAATGCATTACTATTAGAAAACAAACCGAAGTTCCTTGTGCCCTCTGTATTTTGAAGACATTAATATTAAAGATAACTCCAGTATGTAGTTGAAGCACAAGGGAATGACTTCAAGCATTTTGTGTTAGGATTGAAATTTATTTCTCTCCAAAAGCATCGCATCATATTCATAAATAACCTTCGAGTTTATTATAATAATTATGAATAGATTCTAGTAGATGAAATACAATATGGTAACGTCTAGAACGCACCCTAAGACTGTGCATTCAAATTAAATGACGAACCCAGTGTTGTTCCTGGCCAAAAAAAGTAACATTCTAATTGCAACTTTTGAATGAATAGCACATTGAACGCTGCCTTTCGCGGCTAAAGATCCGCTTTACTATCTAACTTGTCTTTTCTTCAAAAGTGACAGTTGACATATGAACACTAGCCACAAGTCGTGCGAAAATGCTTTTCAATCATTTTTTTTGTCATAAGTTAACTGTCAATAATTATGATACTCCAACTGTCAGTTTTGATACGTCATTTTGTCAGTTCTGGTGCGAAAACGGTCAGTTAAAAGTTTCTCAAAACGGCTGAAAACGTAACATAGTCATTTTATGCATCTAAAAGTAACATTTTGTTACTAAAGTTAAACCAGGAATAACACTGGATGAACCATGTGTAAGAACACAGAATATAGGTATGAGGGTAAAAGAGTATCTCTGAAGTTGGGCATAGAAATACTCCATGAGTGTAGAGTATACTAGACAATGATGCTAGCTTAGGGCTTGAACATAAAATGATTGATTCCCTCATTCATATGCTTACGCAGAACTCGTGAAATATACACATTTGTAAGTTCTTTGTAATGGAGATCACGTGCGTTGGCATTAATTCAGAACTGAGGCAATAAGAACTCTGAAGAAAATAAAAATCTCATCTCAGTTGAGGTGTTCATTTTGAAGTGAAATTGGGTTACTGATACCTCAAATATACTTATAAGTATGAAGAGATGTCCTTCAGACATTTAATTATTACATGAATAATACAAATATTAAATGAAATAATGTTGAATATTGATGAATGCCAGACACGGAACATCAACTCCATATATAAACCCTGATCCAGCTGTTGGGGTCGTACCAAAATTTTTGTTACAAAACCAGGTTAGAAAATTGGTATATAAGAAACATAAAGAGTACGAGTGAAGCATACACGGAAATGCCTTTATAAAAAAGCCGTCAAAAATATTGAATATTCAATTTAATTTCCAAGAGTTTATTTTGAACCTAATTCCTTTCTTCATATCTCTGGAAGTTTCCCTCATTTCTTATAAAAAAAATGGACAAGTAAAAAAAACATTACATTTTCTTTTGAAACATAATTCTTCCAATTCAAATCAAAGTTGAAATTAATTTCAATTGTTCAATTGATGAAAAAATATATTTTTGCTCTTTCAAGTTATTTTTCCAATCGATATTTGTAGTTGAAAAGTATCCACGGAATAAACGACAGTCGTATTGAATGAAATTCAGTTAGAAACATGCAACTGTCAAATTGACGGATATGAAATATATTTTTAAAATGATTTCGATGATGCATTTCATTCATCATCATGGCAAAAAAGAAGACAATGGTTCTAAGGACAAAAAACACGAATGTAGCAGTAAAAAGTAAGTACATTTATATGTTTGCAAATATATTGCTTCATTTTTGAACTTCTTTCGTAAATATTTATGAATTTTGGATATGCATGATACGAAGGGCATGCACTAAGATTTTGGAAGTTTTAAATCTAAGTCCTCTTCCACTAAGTGCCCTTATTACTATCGATTCCTCAGAAATAAAAAATATATTCGAATTCGGACTTGTGATGAAACTTCATCAGAATTGGGAGATTTAATTCGTTCATGCTAATGTCAAAACACAGTAACCTGACATGGAAACGAAAAATGAGTTGTATGCATATTTCTCAAAGTCGGTCTATTAATCATTTCCCAGTGCCGGGGACATAGTACAACCAAAACAGTATCTAATCTTTTTTTTTACATTTTTCTTTCATGTACCACTAATTATCAATTTTCATATTGTGTTTTGGCATGGAGCGGCCGAGCCATCCTTTCGACGAATATAATCGTTAATTTCGACAACATAGTCTTTTTATTTTTGGCAGAAATGTAGTATCTACCGGAATCGTTATGTTATCCACCGTTTGACAGTTGTGTTGACAGCATCTTAACAATCACGTGAAACTTCAATAACGATCAGCTGTCTACTGGGGAGTGGTTGTGTGTGAAGGGGTGTTTTGGTACAAATTTCAATTTTTCCCAGGTAAAACACATAGAAATAGCAATAATAAAACAGACAAACAAAATACCACCTAAACCAGCATTTATCTCTCAATTGCAGAGCCTGTTCAATAACTGGTTGTTTTAATCAATGCCCACCCTTTGCTTCCCCTAGCACCCCTTTAACTTGACCTATTTACCTTCGCAAATTGTAAAAAAAGAGTTATGAGGCCTTAAATATGACCATAATCGATGACATTGGTGCAGTTTAAGTAAAAATACATTACTAACCTAATATTGTTTTAGAATGTTTTTTTTGTCAAAACAATTTATTGAAAGGGCAATTAAGTTAACTTTCCTAATATAGATTTTTCCATCGTTATGCTCAACTAGAATCGTTATTTTTTATTAATGGTATAATATTCAACTCTGTAATTTTAGTCACATGACAAATTACATTAAATATGCTGTTGGCATGTAATTAAAAATGTACATCTTTTTGTTATTAAAAAATAAATTATTTCAGGGAAGAAAAAGACGATACTGGTTTAAGGAGACCTTCATCTGAGCACGAAGCAGTCATGGCGGAATATTGGCTCATTTCGGCTCCTGGTGACAAAACATGTCAGCAGACTTGGGAAACCATGAATAATCTCACCAGCAAACAGAATAATTTGTGCACAAATTATAAGTTCCACATTCCTGATTTGAAGGTATAGTTGTTTATTCTTTTGAAGTTTTTTTGTTCTAAAAACACAGCCAAAAATGGTGCAACCAAAATTTTGTTACTTCAAACGTAGGCACTGCATTGCATTGAATTTTTGCATTACGTCACATACATCTCTCTTTATCAGCGGTCTGATCTCTTTTTTATTCCTTGCAGAACTATTTCACATACATTTTCATTATTTTGTATTCAATCCTCTAATTTTTTGCTCTTCGTTTAACGTAGCCATTGTGGGCTAAGCTATCTTTATGTTAAGCTAACAGAACCAAATCAAAATGCTTCACTTTTTGTAAAATTCAAATTTGCAAAAAATTTTAGACTAAATTTATGCTGCTTCATTATCCTTTTGAACAATTTTGTTATTTCTGAACTAAAACCAAATGAAGTTTGCTTGGTGTATTACACAAATTGTATTGATTGCTAGGAATAATTTCTAGCTAGTAATTGATTGATTAATTTTTTAGGTTGGCACGCTGGATCAGTTGGTAGGTCTGTCGGATGATTTGGGTAAACTGGATGGGTTCGTTGAACAAGTTACCCGAAAGGTAGCTCAGTACTTGGGGGAAGTATTAGAGGATCAAAGAGATAAACTGCAAGAAAACCTGATGGCCAATAACAGTATGTTTTTCTGACCCTCTGATTATTTTTTGGGAATGACGATTTGTATTGAGAGTCGCATGTATTTGTATTTGGACAAACAATGGTTATTTTCTAAATTATTGATTTCGGTTTTGTCCGGCACTCTTTTGGGGAACTGTTAGAATATCTAGTATATCTGATACATGTGGTTTTGTTTATTTTTGTGGAATTCCTTTTGACTTGGACAATATTTTATTGGGTAAAGCAAGTATATTTTATTTCTGATCTCTTAATAGGGTTTTGGTGTATTCAAACTCAAATTAGCAAAAAAAAACTTTGTATTATTCAAAATTTTTCAAAGGATATGTAGCCAGTCATTCGTAAAAGAAATCACACTTTTTTCGGAGATCCAGCCTGAACTAGCAGAGATAAAACAACAAAAATAATCATTTTACAGTTTTTCTGCCATTAAACGAAGAGAAGATACAATTACATTGCATAACGATCTGAAAACACTACTTGTTCAAGTGTAGGCCTTTATAATGAATGAACACTTACGTGCAATTAGTTATTATGGTATCTGTAAGAAAATCATTTGAACTATTCAATCATATACGAGCAGTCGCAAGTAAAAATGAGAGAAGTCAACAGTTGCAAATTGAAAGAGAGGTGTACCACAAAGATCTGTTTTGAGGCCGTTGCCCTTTCTGACCTTCAATCATGATATGCCTGTGAACATTACCTATAAATCAACTGCTTAGTTCTATTTGTAGATGATTCAACAATTGGTTTATGAATTCACAAAGAGGAAAATACCAAATAATCTGTGAAAGAGTTTTGAATCAAGTTAAATCCTGGTTCAAAAGCAATGAACTGTTTTCTACACTGTATCCTTGAAATGAACATTAATGTAAGGACTACGATAGCAAACTATGGCACTGTCAAATTTGTCAGAGTGTAGATAAATGATCGCTTGAGCTGGTCAGTACATATAAATGCCTTAAGAGAAAATCTGGCAAAGACAGTTTTTGGTGTAAAAAAGAGATGTAGTTAGCCAACAAGCAACTATGTATTACCCGCTGTTCCTTCAACTTATGTTTTTTGGAGTGCTGTCTTGGGGTGACTCAGAACAAATTCATTCAATGAAAATATTCATTTTACAAAAGGCAGCAGTAAGAAACATTCATAAAGCTAGATTGGGTTTAGGCTGCAAACCAATATTTCCAAACCTGAAAATAATGACCTTATATGAAGTCATTGTATACCAGAAATTAATAGACATTAGAAAGCATGATAACGAATACTCATAGCAGTGAGATGTGTATAATCATGACAGACGAAAAAAACAAGCAAAATAGATATTTCAACAGCTTGCCATCTCATTTCTAGCACTTACAGTTTACCCTTCACAAAATAGGCTGAAAAATGTATTTGCGACCACTGTCTGTTCAGTATTGATGACTTGACTACATTGTTGAGCCAGAATGAATGTGCGTTCTTTTTAGTTGTTTAATTTTTGATATGATATAATTTTGATTATGTATTGACATGTCTATAAATTTATATTGCAATGGACCTGAATAAATATAACTATTATTATTACTAGTTCGTTATATAGGCTGAAACAAAAAGTGAGTCAAATTTATACATAATCGTCATACAATATAAAGAAAACACAACTTTGCATGGATCAACAATTGAAAGTGAAAGAGCAATCAGTGTCGTTGGGAATCCCAATCTTCCCTCTTGCCATTCTCTATATTGTAACTTCTGGAACATGATGAAATTGATGAAACATTATCAGGAATGAAAAGTTTAGAAATCTTGCGTTTGCAGCTAACTGATTCCTCAACAAACTACTCATCCACTGCTGAGAATTTCCACCTTCTGAATTTATTTAATATTGAAAGCTCACATCCTCTTTCAGACAGCATGGTGGTGGAAGACCTAAAGCAATGACTAGTATAGGATTCAGGTTTTTCCAAATTGAAAAATTCAACCACCAGTCACAGAACGCTCCCCATTTTATGAACTCCTACAAGATGCCGAGTGCATTCACCATCTTTGTAGTTGATATAAATACGTTGATTCCGCATATTATATGGGGAAATCTCGCTTATGTTCCATATAGTACATCCATTGGAGGGTATCTTCAATTTTCTAAGTCATCTCCGGAGGATGCTTACTAGGTTAGATACAAAGATACTGTCTCTCGACGCACGTCGAGAGACAGTATCTTTGTTCTGGTGAAGGTACAGTGCTCTCAATAGATTCATTGTATGCCAGAGATTCCAAGTTCTAATTGTATTGTCAATGCACAAAGAAGTGAACTTCACGTGTAGGCTTCACCAAAAATTCTATGAATCGAAATGATTGTCCAGCAAAAAATAATCATTTGGAGCATCGAAAAAAAATTGTTTGTTCTGGTATTAATATATTTGCTTTTTTTGGTTGTGGTACTCTGAATTCCTTCTCAATAAAGTGATAACTTTTCTGTACCTAAGAAAAGCATAATTTAGTCTTTATAAAAAAATGTTGGCATAAAAACTACATATCTTGAATTTTATGTAATTTTCTGAGATTGCTAGTATATTTCATTTAAATTTTCGAATTTCAAAAAGCCAAAACTGATCTCTCTTGTAGAAATGTTGGAAAGTTTGGACATCGTTTGTTACTATTGTGTTTCGTTTGTATCATAATAATATATTTAATTCATGATTATTGATAGTTACTTATTATTGTTCCAAAACTTTTTGAATTTGAATTATTCTATTCAATTTGTTTTATATTAATGATGTATTTTTAAGTTGAAATTTCGATCAGCTTATGCATTGTGAGAATTTAAACTACTCATTTCATTAAACAATATTTTTATAGGAGTTCTGCAATGTTTTTGCCTCTCAGATTGTTTAAAAAGTTCTGCTATTTCAAAAATATCTGGAGTAAGGTTTCATCACCATTTAGTATTATAGGGAAGTAAATTTTTGCTTTAGGTCATGTTTGATAGGTTGGATATGCATAAAAAAGAGAAAGTAGGACTGAATCAAAACTTGACTGGCTGCAATTTTTATATTAAACTCAAATTAAGTAAATATAACCAGCTTGGTCCATTTTCCATTATAAAAATTTATTATCTGAAATGTATATGAAAACATTATTGATAATATATTTCTACAAAAACCCAACTCTGTATAACATATTAACTATAATTTACTGGTTACATTAATTTTTGACAATATTTTTTTGGGAATGAGCAATTTTGATTTTACTCACAAAACTTGGGCTTATGTGAAATGAACTTTGGTCGAACATGAAACTGTTTATTACTCATTTGTTAGAAGCTGTGTCATTTGAACAGTATTTTCTTCCGACTAGTGGTAAAGTTTTGAAACTTCACTGTTCCCTTTGCCTTCTTGTGAACTGACCTGGGCTATTGATTCATAATATTTCCTACTGCTGATACATTTATACATTTTTAGATCCCCTGTAATAGGACAAAATTTACTCCTCAAGTTCATGATGAATATTTTGATTATTTCTATACAGGGTGTAACTGAATAAGTGTAAAACATTTAAGGAGGTGATTCCTCATCGAAAAAAAGATAGGATCTTTCATATAAAGAAACTTCATTGGAGCATCCCTCGTTAAGATACAGCCCCTTAAAGGGGGTACATAAAATTTGTATAACAATTTTTTTCACAAGCACTGAAAAAGTTACAATATTGAAATTAACCTGACGTTTT